CTCTGCCATGGAAATGGTACTGCTCTGACAAAAATCCCATCCTTTACCTTTGGACCACTCAGTAAAGTCTTATCAGACTTAATTTCGCAACAGAAAATGTAAATAGGTTTCTATAAGGTGGCATTAGCAAGCACATTAAGTATAATTCGAGGGGGTTTACAGTGTAATAAGTTCGGGTTGCTTACAGAAAGAGAAGTCGTAGCAAAGTAGAAGTCCCAGGCTTGGCCCTATGTATTCGGACCCTTTTGTGTCAGCTACGAGCACTGGGTGGGGGAAATTCAAGCCCAGCTCCATCTGTTCTTTCTCTTGAGTATCTGATCCCATAGCGTATAAAACTGTTTTGACAGTTGGGACAATATCGAGCTGTTATTTATTTATTTTTTTTTAGATTTTATTTATTTGCGAGAGAGAGAATGAGAGGCAGAGAGCATGAGAGGGAGGAGGGTCAGAGGGAGAAGCAGACTCCCTGCTGAGCGGGGAGCCCGATGCGGGACTCGATCCCGGGACTCCAGGATCATGACCTGAGCCGAAGGCAGTCGCTTAACCGACTGAGCCACCCAGGCGCCCTCGAGCTGTTATTTAATATTTTATTTCAGAAGATATTTACGAAGGGCCTGGCAGGTCCAAGAAATTCCGTTAGTAATGTAGGGATGCAGAGACGGGTCAGACCCTGTCACAGCCCCAGGAGCCAACAAGGACGTGATTCCTCCTTGGCCTTTGATTCCAAGCATTTGATGAAGTGAAAGTCAAAGCACCTACTTTATGTTAGCACAGAACTTCTCCCATGTTCTCTGTCAGTCGCTTCTAAGGTGGAGAGTTAGCTGATCATCCATTCATGCCCTAACCCCAAGGCCTCTCCCTTGGGGGTAAAGGGGTTGATGGCTGGCAGCCCCGCTCCCTCCATCCCTGTTTGACACAAGTTCTCTCCTGCCGACTTGGAACTTTGTTGTTCACTATGAGGCTTAGACTTACGTTTCCCTCTTACATGCTTTGTATTTAAGTCCCGATGGTAATTATACATCACTGTGCAAATTTCTGATCACTTTCCCAACGCAGAACCACGCTGACTTCTGATCTAGATATCCTTACGTTCTGTTGTCTTTGGACACGCTGGGTTTGTCTGTGCCATCTGAGTGATGGCAGGCCGCACTTGCTAACACAGAGCCCGGGGAGTCTTCACAGACTTTCACCGAGTTACTGCTGGGGTCACCTGCAGGGGCACATGCTGTGCCCATCTTAGCTAGGCGCTGGAAACAGAAACTGGACACCTCCTGCACCATAAGGATTGTGCGAGAACTATGGATACAGAGATTAGCAAAATACATTCTCTGCCCTCAAGGCAGATGTGAAACGTTCTCATGCTGCATATAATCGGGGCTCTGTCAGAATCCAGCCCAGGTGCTGCGGGACCCCAGAGGAGGGTGTGTTGGGCCCTGCTTGGCTTCACAGAGTAAGAGCTCATCATGCCATTAGCAACTCATTTTAGCCTAATCTTTTCAAAAGTCATGCCATCTAAGAGTTGGTGATTTGGAAAATACTATATGGTGAAGGTTGTGGGTTAGTGTTGAAATCCTTCCAGCGCTTCACCTGCCCTCCGTGACACAAAATGGTAATAGTGTCTACGTCTCCTTTCTGCCTCTCTTTCCCTTCCTTCCTTCTTTCTTGTCATTTCTTTCTTTTCTTTTCTTTTTTTAATGTTCTATAGTTTTTGCATACTCTGCTCAAAGGAATATTCTGATTGGTAAATGCTCTACTGAGACCTAAAAGGAGAATTTCAGCAGTTTACATTCAGCAGTATTACATTTCTGAAATAACAAGATGCAGCTCTAACATTTAAGTTGGGCGGGAAAGAAAAGAGGTGTTGAGAGAGCGCCCCGGTAGGCCTCGGGTTCGGGAAGGAACGTCAGGATTACACGGAACATGCATCTTGGTGGGAGCCGGGCGGGGAGCTCCACTGTCCTTTCCCCAGACTCTCGGCCCCCGTGGAAGCCTCTCTGCATGAGGAAACCGAAGACCCACTGGAGTTCTGCTGGCCTTCTCGGCTTTTCCTCCAGCCGTTTGTCTCACCTCCTTGGCCAGCCTGGGAGCGGCTGAGAAAAGAGATCATCTGATGTGCCTGTCTGTCCCTCCAGAGCACTTGGGGTGGAGGACACCATAACTGGTGTCTGGTTTGCTCTCCTCGAGGAACTGGGCAGTGGCCGTGCCATGTGGACTTTAGAGCCAGACTTCCTGTGATATTTCTGCTGCTTGAGCAGAAGCCACAGCGATGGGGGGAGGGCCGGGAGCCAGGGCACGCCAGGAGCCACAGGGCAGGTGGGCTGGGGTGTGTGCCCAGCCGCCTCGGCTCTCTACCTGGGGACGCCCTCAAAGGGAGCCCTGCCTTATCTGCTCCAGCCGGAAACAAGAAAGGGCCGGTGTGTTCAGTGATCTGTGCAAACACCAGTCCTCTGGCCGGAGTTCAGGACAGTGTTGCCTCACTTTGCGGAGGGATTTTATCTTGTTAGCTCTTCATTAACAGCAAGACTGACGTTCCTCTAAGTAAGTCTCAGGTATGCTTTAAAAGCAACTGAAAAGTAAAACGCTAAGAGTGTTCTAACTCCCTGAATGTGATGACAAGGAAACGAACATCATTTTATAGTCAAAGATCAGTTCTTCCAGCTTTGACGCTCCTGGTTGGAAGATAGAATATTTGCAGGGGGGAAAAGGCTGCTATCTACACGCGTGTTCCCTTGCAGAACTGGGGGTCTGATGAGGAGGTGGTCACAGCCCCACTGACCGCACGGCTTCTGCCTGGCTAGCTGATACCTACTGGGCTCAACTTTATGGTTAATATTGGACTGCAGTGACTGCAGTTTTTAATCTTTTGTTCATGGTGAAAAATATTTTAAGTAATACTTACCCCACTGTCTTGCTTGCCTTTTGAAGAAACCTGCCTTCAGATATAATGCAGAATAAAATATGATATAAAAAAATGTACAGATTCACAGCCTGATTATAGAAATATAGATTACATAGAAAGTCTTTTAAATCTTATGAAAGGCTGATGGTTCTCTTTTATTTTTCCTGTGTGTTATTGTCAACCATGAGAACTTATTGTCCGAATTCTAAGCATGAGATGTGACTTTCACAAAAATGTGTGAATTGTACCCATTTTTCATTCCTAAAGGAAGTCAAAACATCCCTTCCTCTTTGCACTTAAAGTTGTTTACTTGAAGCAGGGCTGCACTGTGAAAATGTTTTAGAAGAGCATGTTCCGTGGATTTGCTTTGGAATAGTGTTCTCACTTGGCTGGGTGAGCCTGGCGTCCTGTGGTCACCATGTGATGGCAGCGCTTCGCAGTCAGCCCCTCGGTCAGCCCTGGCTGTTGATGGCATGCACTTCCTCGGGGCCTCTTGGTGCTGCTAGCCGTGAGCTTCCCTGGGACCGCTTCAGATGGGAAAGCAGTTCCCGAAAGCTAAATGTCACTGAGCGATGCATGACTGCCAGGCCCAGGGATGCACGTGAGGCAGGACCTCAGGAGGACAGAGATGGGAGGGCAGTTCGGGCAACTGGACCTGCCACACAGGTATCAGTACCTTCGGTTTCCTCATGCAGAGAGGCTTCCACGGGGGCCGAGAGTCTGGGGAAAGGACCGTGGAGCTCCCCGCCCGGCTCCCACCAAGATGCATGTTCCGTGTAATCCTGACGTTCCTTCCCGAACCCGAGGCCTACCGGGGCGCTCTCTCAACACATCTTTTCTTTCCCGCCCAGCTTAAATGTTAGAGCTGCATCTTGTTATTTCAGAAATGTAATACTGCTGAATGTAAACTGCTGAAATTCTCCTTTTAGGTCTCAGTAGAGCATTTACCAATCAGACTATTCCTTTGAGCAGAGTATACAAAAACTATAGAACATTAAAAAAAGAAAAGAAAAGAAAGAAATGACAAGAAAGAAGGAAGGAAGGGAAAGAGAGACAGAAAGAAGGAGACGTAGACACTATTACCATGTGTGCCCCTGGTGTCTCTTTTTATGTGTCCCAAGTTCCTCTTCTTATAAGGCCACCAATCAGATCGGATCAGGGCCCACTTTAAAGACCTCATCTTAACATAAGTGCCTTTTCAAGACCCTCTCTACAAATACAGCCACATTCTGAGGTCCGGAGGGTCAGGATTCCAACATAGGAATGTTGGCAGGATACAGTTCAGCTCAAAACAGTACCCACCCGGGGAGTATTCTGTTGTTTGCTGGCTGAAACAGTCTAGCTTTGTCAAGGACTCACCTAGTTAGGTTTTTAAAACTCTATGATGTATCTGCAAGTGCACAATCATTTTTTAAGGAAAACCTGCATGAGTTACCCCTGGGGTACAAGGAGAACCTAGAATATCGCACCAGGGTATATGCTGATGGCTTGTCCCTCCTGCTCTCTCTGTGCCCCTCCGCTGAGCCACACTGGCCTGCTTTTTCCTAGAAGGCTTTCATTGTGGGGCTTTTGTGCTCGCTGTCCATTTGCTGGAACATTCTCCCCAAAGACCTCTACACAGCTCACCCTCTCGGGTCCTGCTGTCCCCAGATCAGCCGGGCAGTGTCCCCCTGTAAGGCAGTGTCCGTTCTCCATCTGCTCCCACCATGCTGTCGGATCACCATGCAGTCCACACGTGTGTTTGTTTACTTGCTAACTATCTATGTCCCCACCGAAACAGGTGTTCTAAGCAAGCGGGGACTTTGTGTCCCACTGCCATTTCTCTCCAGCTCAGATCTGGTGGGTTGAGCTGAGCACACCCTGTGCACTCAGTAGCAGGTGAATGATTCTCGCAGGATCGGCTTTGTCTCCTTAAACAGGTTGTGTTGAAAGATTTTCATTTTCTGAGCATGCTTATCAAGAGGCATGCTGAGAAAAGGTGGTCAACACTGTTCCTTCTTAGATTATGAATTTAGTGGGTCGTCATCGGTAAAGGATGTTTTCATTGAAGGAAAAGTATTCTTCTGTGTTTGTCTCACTAGTTACTGCTCTCTCCTCCCAGGTTGGGGCTCGGCTACATTTCCAGAACCATCTAGTCAAGATGGTAGACACAGAAAGCCCGATTTGCCCCCTCTCCCCACTCGAGGCTGATGATCTGGAAAGCCCATTATCTGAAGAATTTCTACAAGAAATGGGAAACATCCAAGAGATTTCTCAATCCATTGGTGAGGACAGTTCTGGAAGCTTTAGTTTTACAGAATACCAGTATTTAGGAAGTGGCCCAGGATCTGATGGATCTGTTATTACAGGTAAGTGTGCTGTATCCCAAAAAGCTGTATTTAGAAAAGTTTTTGGTGTTTTTTTTTTTTTTTCCTCTAGAGAAAACTGTTCTCTTTAGCTGACAAAGAAGTCACATCTTTGTGCAATGAACTCTTTAGACATGATAAAGCATAACACCCAGTCCACTGGGCCTGGAGGGCTTTCAGGAGACATTATGAGATACACAGTATGCCCACTTTTATTTTTTATTTATTTATTTATTTATTTATTTATTTATTTATTTATTTATTTATTTTTAAGTTGTTTTTTTTTTTTTTTTTTTTTTTATTCATGAGAGACAGAGCGAGAGAGAAGGGCAGAGGGAGAAACAGGCTCCCAAGGAGCAGGGAGCCCGATGCGGGACTCGATCCCAGGACCCTGAGATCATGACCTGAGCCGAAGGCAGACGCTTAACCATCTGAGCCACCCGGGCGCCCAGTATGCCCACTTTTAAAAGCTATACACAAATCAGATAATGCTTGAAATTCAGTTAAGGCAGTCAGCTACATTTCTAAAAAAAATTCTGAGTTTCAATTTCTTTAAAGCAGAGGCTCCTATTATATTAAAAAGGACAATTTTTAAAAAATCTGGAAATGTATATGAACCACCTCCCTATTTTCTACACTGCATTAAGAACTGCAGGAAAGGGGCGCCTGGGTGGTTCAGACGGTTAAGCATCCGACTCTTGGTTTCGGCTCAGGTCATGATCTCAGGGTCCTGAGAGTGAGTCCCATGTTGGGCTTCGTGCTCAGCGCAGAGTCTGCTAGAGATTCTCTCTCTCCCTCTGCTCCTCCCTCTGCTCATGCACGCTCTCTCTAAAATAAATAAATAAAATCTTAAAAAAAAAAAAAGAACTGCAACAAGTATCAGCAGGGCAGATACAAAGAAATAAAACTTTATTTAGATGTGAAGCGCATGTCAGCCCGTGGACTTGGGTCCAGTGTGGCTTTTGATGAAGCATATGGACCACAAGGCTAGTTTATATGGCATTTCCAAGTCTTATGTGTCAGAGCTTTCAGATGGCTTAGGAATATATTTTAGATTATAGTTCTTGGCGATGACCTAAAAGACAACCTTGAAACAAACTGGAAGAACGTAATTTTGGATCCCTCCTGTTTGAGGGTGAGGACTTGGGAGAAAGAAAATCCAGGCAGAGTGGCCGCTGTGGACTCTACCTTCCTGGACAAAGTGGGTGTCTGAACACTCTTCCTGTCCATGGCTAGAACAGAACTTTCCAGAGGTTTTACAACTGCACGCCCACCCTGCTCATGCAAGTTCCTTATTTGAGAACGACCTCGAGAGTGTGTGTGACCTGAAGGAAAAGTGTATCCTTGAATCTTTCATTATAAAATGAACAATATGTTTTCCAAAGAAGGGGGGGGGGGACTGCCTTCTTTAAAAAAAAAAAGAAACAAATGGACAGAGATAAACCTTCTCAAATCCAGAAGAAAAAAAATCTCTGATAGTCAGTATAACCACAAATAGAATACAAAAACAATGGGCCAGCATGTGGTGTGTCTGCAATGTGGTGAATCAAAGACCCATGTGGAGGGGTTGAGAGCTGGGTTTGACCCTGGGTTTTCTCCTACTCTGAGCTTGTCATCTCCAGCATGTGCCAGTGTCCTGGGGTCTGTCTCCCTCCCTCTTTCCTCAAATAAACAGAATAACGAGCTCGAACACTGCTCTTGGGGTCCAGGGAGACAAGGCATGCGTAATGGCCACCATGGTAGCCAGTAGCCGGGGCTGTCACTGTCCCAAACACTAGCACAGGTCAGCCATGAGGCGACCTCCCGAGGCTCTGCAAGGTGATCCCACACCCCAGAGGCTTTTCCTTGTCCCCCTCCCTTGCTGTTTCTGGAAGCCCCCATCACCCTGGACGTTTGCTCCTTTCCCTCGAAGCTCACTCCCTCGGTAACACGTCATGAGCAAGGCAGTCAAAACACGAACCACTGGGGCGCCTGGGTGGCTCAGATGGTTAAGCATCTGCCTTCAGCTCAGGTCATGATCTTCAGGTCCTGGGATCGAGCCCCACGTTGGGCTCCCAGCTCAGCTGGGGAGTCTGCTTCTCCCTCTCCTTCTGCCTCTACCCCTGCTTGTGCTCTCTCTGTCTCTCTCTCTCAAATAAATAAATAAATCTTTTTAAAAAATCTTAAAACAAAAGCCGCGAACCATTTATAAAGGTCTGTTGGGGTCACTACAAAGGCTGTTCAGACAGGAAGGCCACAGAGTCCATTAACTTGTCATCTCGTCAGGGTCTCGCTTGGATCGTGCAGTCCCTGATTTTCTGGGTCAAGGACACTGCTGCCAAAAGGGATGATGTTCATATGAAGAACACGGCTTCAGAGCCAGCTGAGGGGCATGGGTTCAAGTCTTGGCCCGGTCTCTTTCTAGCTGTGTGACCAGGCCACGTTACCTGATATCTGTGAGTTTATTTCCACTTGTAAAATGACAAGAGTCTTCTCACTGAGTTTTTACGAGGATTATGTGAGGCTTTGCGCAAGATGCTCTTTCCTTCTGCCAGGAATGCTCCTTCCTGCTGCTTTTATTTTTCTTTAAAGTATCTCAAACATACAGAAAAATATACAGTAGGACACCTGCCACCCAGATTTACAAAGGTAATGTTTTATCACACTGCCTCATGCCTTCTGTCTAAAGTGCAACCTACAGGAGCTAAGGTCCGGCGGGACCCTCTGCCCAGTCCCACCTTCCTCTCTGCAGGGGACCAGCATCGTAAAACTGGCATGAGCTTTCCCAGATGTGTGTCCATACCCACCGACCACATTCAGTGCTGTCTGGTGTTGGAGATCTTACACGAATGTGTGGCCGTTGGTATCTCTGTTTGTTGCCCCAATGCTGCAGTGCTAACCGGCCACGACGTGGGCCACTCTCACCTCTCCCAGCTGATCCGCAAGCTCCCACACCACCACTCCTTCCATTCGTGGTTTGTCTCCAGTCTACACGATGGTGGTGTCAGGGTGGGTAACCTGTGTATCCCCGTGGGGGCTGCTTTATCTGCAGACGCCCCGTGCTGACATCCTTTAGTCCCATAGATGCCACTCGTTTCCAAGTTTCCTTGGGTGGGGTCTTCTCCACGCCTCCTTCAGGGAGGCCATTCCATATATGTGTGACATGGTGAGCTTGCTTTGTCATACTCTATACTCCCCCGGGGGTCCCCCAACCTCCTAAATGATTTTTGTTTGCACACATTGAAGGCTCGCTCTGTACTGTAAAGTTCTGTGGGTTTTGACAAATGCATCCTGTTGTGGCTTCACCGTTATGTTCTCATATGAATTGTTTCACCATCTCCAAACAAACCTCTGTTTTACCTGTTCAGCATCCCTCCCCCCCTCCCCCCAGCAACTCACCTTTGTACCAAACCTATAATTCAGCTTCCCCAAAACGTCAGATATTTAAATTGTATAGTTTATAACCTTTTAAGACTGGCTTTTCTTTTTATCCTTCCACCTATCGAAGGGCATCTTGGTTACTTCTGATTTGGGGAGATTAACACTAAAGCTTATATAGACATCCGTGTGTAGGTTTTTGTGTGAACTTAGTCCTCAGATCACTTGGGGTAAATACCTAGAGTGTTATTCCTTTAAGACTGCTTTGCCAAACTGTCGTCCAACGTGGCTGCACCATTCTACCGTCCCAGAAGCCACGAGCGAGCGTTCCTGTCACTGCACATCCTTGCCAGCATGCAGTGTTGTCAGGGGTTTCTCTAAGTTTTTTTAAAGATTTTATTTATTTATTTATTTATTTATTTATTTATTTATTTATTTATTTATTTGAGAGAGAGACAGGAGAGAGAGGGCACACACAAGCAGGGAGAGGGGCAGAGGGAGAGGGAGAAGAAGGGTCCCCGCTGAGCAGGGAGCCCGACGCAGGACTCAATCCCAGGACCCCAGGATCATGACCTGAGCCGAAGGCAGACGCTTAATCTACTGAGCCCCACCAGGCGCTCATGTTTGTTTGTTTTAGCCAGTCCAATAGGTGCATAGTGATGTCTCGTTTTAATTCACAATTTCCTAATGACAAGTGATACTGATTTGCTACCATTCTTCAGTGAGGTATCTGTTCAGATCTTCTGCCCATTTTTTAATTGAGTTGTTTGTTTTGTTGAGTTTTAAGACCTCTCTGTGTATTTTGGATACAAGTCTTCTATGAGATGTGTGTTTTGCGAATATTTCCTCCCTGCCTGTGGCTTGTCTTTTTCATTCTCTTGGCAGTGTCTTTTGCAGAGCAGAAAGAAGTTTTTAATTTTAAGAAAGTCCAACTTAACTTTTTTTGTAATTTTTCATGGATTATTGCTTTCAGTGTAGCCCACACGGATTTTTATCCTGTGTTCTGGTGTGATTTACTGAGTTAACATTTGCAGAAGAGCTGGAGGGAAGCAGAGTACAAAGCAGTGTGTAGGCCGAGCTGGGGTGGGGGAGGGGAGACAGCTGGGTGTGTGGGTCCAGAACCCGGGGGCGGCCTAGCGGCAGGTTTGGGGATGCCACAATGGTAACTGGAGGCACACAGGCAGGGGTGGGACAGCCCAGGACAGGGGCCAGCCCAGGCCGGGAAGTCTGCCCACTAGCCGGCACCTCCCACATGCAATCATGTCCTCGTAAACCTGGTATAGAAATCGATGATGGTGTCTGGAATGCTCATCAGTGTTTCTCCTCTGTTCTCAGACACCCTCTCACCAGCTTCGAGCCCCTCGTCGGTCACTTACCCGGTGGCTCCCGGGAGTGCTGATGAACCTTCCAGCATAGCCTTGAACATTGAATGTAGAATCTGTGGGGACAAAGCCTCAGGCTACCATTACGGAGTTCACGCGTGTGAAGGTTGCAAGGTACGGTGGACCCCGGCAGGGAGGAGAGTCCCTGCTCGGGACAACGGGTGCTTCCTTTTATTTTAAACACAGATTTTCATCATCACTGGAAAGATCTGGCGATCAGAGGTGGCAGGCCCCCACATCACGCTCTTAGGACTTTGTGTACGCTCTCCAGCTTTGGTACTTCATGTACCTGATGCGTGGGGGACCGCGTCATCTCAGTGTTCGGTTAAAATCAGAAATCTCCTTCCCCTGTGCGTGCTGAGACAGTTTACCGACTTTTGGACGATACCACAGCCTTTCCTGGTGCAGGCGCGACCCGCGTCCTTGACATAGCAATGCCACGCCCGAGCCCGGGCTGGCCTCAGAGGCCCGGGCCACAGGGAGGAAAGGCCACGCTGCCTTCTGACGGGCAGAATTCTCTCTTCAACCTCATGATCCTCTGCCTGCTCTGGCCATCCCACTTTACAGACCTAGATATCCAACTGAGGGAAGGTGCCAACCTCCCCTCCTGTTCCCCAAGAAATTGCTGTCCCTGCTCCCGTGGGCCCGCCGGACCTGCCCCATCTGAACGATGCAGGAATGAGTGGGAAGCAAACAGAAAAAGAACCAAAGCAAATACAGACTCCTTCACAAGCCTTCTGACCACGAACCTGTGAAATAGCCTCTCCTACCTGGCTGTGCCTGAATTCCTGGTGTGACATTTTGTTTCTCATGGACTAAATACTGAAGTTTCTTGGTAGAGTTTAGTGCTTTTGTAAAGCACGAACATTGTTTACAAACAGGTGGCTTCCTTTTATTGGTTTATTATCATTTTTGTCTTTCAGGGAGTTAGTATTCTCTTACGTAGAGATTTGTGTAGTCACAAATCGGGACGTGAGTTGGGGAGGGAAAGTGACACTTGTATGAATCGGAACGGGACTGAGTGACTCTGGGAGACCATAACCGGGTCTTCCCAAGCCAGACGAGGACGTCTTGAAACGACTTTGAATTTTGCCTCATTTTGTTAGTTTTTCATCTTACATGTAATGAAATTTAAATTTTTCAATTTGTCCCAATTAAGTCAGACGTCTTAGAATGACTTTGCTAATTTCAGTCCATTTGGAAAGTACAGTAAGTGAACGACCAGAAACGTGAGTAAAGCCACAGCGCTGACTTACCGGCCCACCGTAGCCCCTCCCCAACCGTGCGTCCATCCCACAGGGTTTCTTCCGGAGAACCATCCGGCTGAAGCTGGCCTATGACAAATGTGACCGCAGCTGCAAGATTCAGAAAAAGAACCGGAATAAGTGCCAATACTGTCGTTTCCACAAGTGCCTTTCGGTCGGGATGTCCCATAACGGTAGGTAAGGTTGTCTAGCGTGCTTCCCCAGCCCGTGCCTCAGCTTACCTCCCTGTCTGGTCGCCGCAGACTGTGTTTTGAATGAATGTGTGGCAACACTTCGTGCCCAGATCATTTTGCAACCAGAATAGCCCCAAAAGGGAGCAGTGTCACATAGCTGAGACCCAGCAGAGCTCCTGCAATTCCCCTTAGACACTTCTCCTGGTAAGACTTTGATCGAAGGTTTTCAGACCGATTGGAAATGCCCCCAGGACGCCAGAATGGTCCCAGAGTCTGCACAAAGCATGTGCCATTGCAAACACCGTCGCACGTGGCGAATGTCATTATTCTGAACCCTACTGTCATTTTAGAACGCGCCAGTGATGACGCGAAGGTAAATCTAAAATGACTAATTCCTAGCAGTTGCATGTCCACCTTCTGGACAAAGAAAAAGGTGTCACATGAACTCGCCCTGGGGGAAACTGCCATCTCCTTGAACTAAGGGTCAATTTGGGACCTCATGACAGGAAACAACCTTCAACTGATCCTGTTGACGAAATGAGGGATTGCCTTTCCTTTGAACCTTTTGAAAGAGTCCAGAATTGATGGAGGGTTGAGTTTTATTTTCCTCTCTCCAGAACAGAACGTTGACTAGTCCTGAGGGGCAGCTTTGCTCTCCTGGTTGAATTCTCGGTGCGCGCTCTCCGCCCAGCGGCCGGTCCCCTGCCGTGCGCCCCAGTGCTCACCTCTGCCCCCTTCCCGTTCTCTCCCGTGTCCCCCCCTTCCCGCCCCCAGCAATTCGCTTTGGACGCATGCCAAGATCTGAAAAAGCAAAACTGAAAGCGGAAATTCTCACCTGTGAACATGACCCAGAAGATGCAGAAACGGCAGATCTGAAGTCCCTCGCCAAGAGAATTTACGAGGCCTACCTCAAGAACTTCAACATGAACAAGGTCAAGGCCCGGGTCATCCTCGCGGGGAAGGCCAGCAATAACCCGGTAGGTGACCTCACTGCTGCTTGGGCTCCCACCTGAGGTGGCCCCCTGGCCACAGGGAGGGGCTGAGGAGACAACGGTTGGATGGCGGGAAGGTGGGATGGCAGTGTGGGCCCCGAGGCAGCAGGCCGAGGCAGCTTATCAGCAACTCCGATCTTCAGGTTCCTCCACCTCAGAGCTCCTAGCAACGAGGTCATTACAATGACTGTGTAATTAATACACCAAAAAAAAAAGAAAAGAAAAGAAAAAATCTGGTTAATAGCTTAGGGTCATCTCTTAAATGCATTTTTTAAAAACCTCTATTTTTTTTTCTTAAATTTCTATTTTAATGCCAGAAAATGAAAGCATTTTCTTTCCCTCAACAGTGTTCTGGCATCTTTCCCCTAAATCTCCTCCCTCCTCTCCAACCCCCCTGCCCTGCAGCCCCCCACCCATCCCACTCCTGTTTCTTCAGTGAAAAGGCAAGGACATCTCTGGGTTTAGAAAGGGCTGTTTGTTTACAGAAACTCCGTTGTCTTCTCTGGACAGTTCTGGGCTTTTTCTGTAGTGCACTCTGCCACCTGACCCCAACCCCGCGGTCGGCTCAGTCTCTGTGTCCATTGCAGAGCTGATCTCTCAGAGCTACTTCAAAGAGGGGCCAGCCCAGGGTTGGCTAATGAAGATATTTTACCTTTTTCCTATGAGCGTGGCAAAACAGGTTTAATTTGTACTAATGAGTAGCTTAAAGCGATCCTGATTGGGAATTACAAGCTGGAATTTTTAGTCACAGGAAAATGAAGTATTTCACAAGCGACTTACTTTCATGAACAAACCAAACCTCTCTTTTACTGAGTCTTTAATTCTTCAGTAAAATTCTCCAATTAAATAGGCTGAGACATTTCAGAAGGGCTCAAGCAAACTCTATTAAATTGGTAAAACCACACCCATGCTGGGAGGCCCCAGGGCTTTTATAAATTAGACCCTTTCTGGATCATAAGGGTGAAAGCAAAGTAACCTTTTAATTTTGAGTTTCTCTCCTGGAAATAGTTAGGAGAGATCTTCCTTCCATTTCTCTCTTGGGTTTTTAGAATTTAAAGGGAACTTAAAAGTCAACTTTACTCTTAACCAAACACTCTTGTTTAATATTAGTTTCATTCCCACGGAGTATCCTTCTGCGTACCCCACTGAGATCTGCACGCTCTTGGAAGGAGCCCTGTCCCCCTTGGCCCGAGCTCGGAGCTCACAGTGCGGGCCACAGCCTCTGCTTTTCTATTTTCCGTGGCCTGTAGATCATCTAACACGAAGACCTACAGCTCACCTAGAACTGGTTAGGGGCTGGGTGGGCCAGGAGGGGGATGCTGTGGGAAGGTGGCCAGGAAACGGTGGAGGGAGGGTCTTGGGAGGAGGAAGGAAGCTGCCGGAAGCATGTAGGCTGGTCTGAGCCACTGAGATTTCAGAACCGGAGACCAGAAAACCACCAGGGCCCTTAGTGACCTGGTCGGAGCTCGTCAGGGCCCTGGCTGCCCTATGACTTGAGGGTGGCAGAAACAGAAGCAGAGCTGAGGCACAGAGGTACATCAGTCCCATCTGAACTTGGCTTCCAAAAGACGTGCTTTTCAACAGCGTCTTAAAAAGTTGGTGTGTTGACGCTTGAGGTGTTAAAAATACCACAAGAATGCTCTCCAGGAGGCCACATGCAGTGAGAGGGTGAGGAGCACTGAAGTCCGTGGGAACGAAAGAATGCACTAGTACTTGTATTTTGTAATGTCACAGACCGTCATAACCTTCTTCATTCAAATGAAGGGGACCGCATACGTTTATCTCAAAGGTTCCCATATTGCTCAAACTTGTCGGGAATCATCTTTAGAGTCTTTGAATGTCTTCAGTTATGGAGAATCTCTATCCTCTAAGAAGATAATTGAATTTTAGACAAAATCATGAGTGCTTTGTAGGCCAGTCACTAACAGTCAAGTGTCTTGTCTGAGAAGAATGAATGAAGCAAGGGGATGAGATTTTGGCACGTGGCCGAGAATAGATTCTAACACGCGTTTTGAAAGGGCCTTCAACATTATTCTCAGCGTTTCGAGATCTTTGGGACAAGGGGCCCCCTGGGTGCCATCCTGAAATGGCTTTAGGGGGTATGTTGCACCACGTGGTGGGGTTTTGCCCACAATGTTACGCTGAAATATTACATCGACAACTTAAGTTGCCTTAAGACTGAAAAACATTCTTAATATTTTATACCGTTTCCTGAAATGTGTAGTAAAATCTAACCAAAAGCTTATTAAATGGTTTCATCTAAAGCAATTCTACCAATAAATCACAATTTTTTCCTAAAACATGGTGCTGCCTGATTTTATGTAGACAATGCTGTTTAGATGTATGTAAAGATGAGTTCTTGTCAGTGGCTTCATTTATTTTTTCATGAGAGACACAGAGAGAGAGAGAGGCAGAGGGAGAAGCAGGCTCCCAAGGAGCAGGGAGCCCGATGCGGGACTCGATCCCAGGACGCTGGGATCATGACCTGAGCCGAAGGCAGATGCTTAACGACTGAGCCACCCAGGCGCCCCTGTCCTGGTCTTTAAACAAATTATATAGCTCTTCTGTTTTCATTGGTGGTAGGAAGAATGTTTTTAATGCTTTGCTAAGTGCTGTGCCCCATAGGCTGTGCATGCCTCCTCCCACCGAGTCTTCTAGTTTATTTCCTGTGAGGCAGCCCTGTCCCTAGTATTTGACATGACAGCTGACCAGTGGTCATTTGGCATTTGTCTCATGAGACTGGGACAGGCCACCAGTCAGCTAACTGAAGAGGCTGGATAAAGCAGGAATCATACAAAACAATACATAATGTAGGCATTTTTTTTTTTTTAAGATTTTATTTATTTATTCATGAGAGACAGAGAGAGAGAGAGAGAGAGAGAAGCAGGCTCCCAAGGAGCAGGGAGCCCGATGCGGGACTCGATCCCAGGACGCTGGGATCATGACCTGAGCCGAAGGCAGACGCTTAACCATCTGAGCCACCCAGGCGCCCTCTTGTCAGTGGCTTCATTAACACACACAGAACACCATCAGGCGTGAGCACGAGTGATAGATGTCAGTTAGGAGAACCTTCTGGTCTTGGTGGGGAGTGATTTGGGGGGCGCTGGGCAGCTTTCTGCTCGTGCTATTTAAACTCCTGACAACATGCTTTATTTATCTGAAATGACCACCTGTGATGTCAGATACATTCATATTCAAACTTAAGTATAAAAGGCGCATTCCATAATTAAATATAAGCAGCATGGATTTTTTTTAAATAGTCCTATCAACAGTGTTTATCAAGCGTGTTAGTATATGCATTTTCTCTTGAGTTTCCATAAACATTGGTTTCTAAATGTTACCACTGGTTTTGAATTGAGATGGTTTCTAATTTTGTCTGTTAATGAGGCCCTGCCTTCTTAAGATCCAAGTGATAATTTTATAAAAATGAAATGAAGTATTTGTACCAGATACATCCCCGTTTACGAGAGTATGTTTTACATAAAACTAGTCCCAGGCGGGTCTCACGGGCGTGTGTCCTGTTTCACAAGGTCCTTTGCCTGGAAGGGCCCCGCATCAGGATTTCATGCCCTGCTGTCACTGTCTTGAAATTCTTCATCATTTTTGAACAAGGGGGCCCACGTTTTCATTTTGCCCCAAGCCCTGCAAATTCCATGGCCGGTCCCGCACCGGTCGTGAGAATCTCCAGCAAAGGACGCAAGTGCTCTGGGATCACACATTTGGGGAACCCCTGCCCAGCCTGTCCCTGTTCCTGAAGCTTCCCCAGCACACACCTGCTGCGGTAGAGACTCTGGAAGGCCCTAACTTCATTTATCTCAGCGTTTCCCAAATTTCTTTGGGCCACACAACTTTTGTTTTTAATGCCTTTATTTCTGCCGAAGGTTACAAAGCCAGTGATACAGCCAAGGTGGCCTACTAGTGTATTTTCTGGAATTGAAGGGATACTGCTGTGTATCCCTAGAATGTTAATTCCTTCAATGTGAGCAACTTCCCAGAAAACAGAACTGCCCCCAAACTTTCCCCAAACAACAGTAATCCGGCCTGCTTTTACGGTCTTTGGAAAGAGATGGTTTTAGTCTTCCTTAACCAGACTTGAGATAGTCAGGACTTTGGCTTTGAATTTTGTATTCAGATTGTTTTCACTCACGCACAGGTAATTTTTCGAGTATCCCCTTTCTTCAGACTTAGAATCAAATTGTTTTTTTTATCCAACGCTGCATTGTAAATTCTGATTTTGGTTAAACATTTCTCAGACAATCCCTTGCATTGTTCCAAGGCGCTTGCCTTGCTTCTGAGACAAGGACACCCTCCAGGTGCCCTGAAGATGGTTTTTTGCTGTGGTTCCTCCAGGTGCTCTTGGGAGCCCAGGAATAGGGGACACATCGTGCCGTGGGGCCAGATAGAGTGTCAGTGACACGTTTTGCCCATTGGCAGAGTGGGTCTTAAAATCATGTAGGCATTCTACATTTTATGCATCCTGGTAGGAATTGAAAGTAATGCCTCAGCCCACCTCATTACTGATCTATAGAACACATTATGAATCCGAGAGATCGCCGAGAGACTGTCCTTTCTTCTGCTCTGCGCACAAATCCGGTGTACATTTTGGGCAGCCGCACAAACATCTATGTTGTTCCCCTGTGCCCCACCAGATATGTAATCCCTCCTGGGCATGCTGACTTCAAATAATAGGGCCAACCGTCTCTTCTTTCCTCCACTAGGTACTTAGAAAATGGCAGGACCCGTGGGCTTAGAAGCAAATGGTATATGGCAACATGCAGGCTGCTGGCCCAGGGGTTTGCACTTGTTGCAGAACACAGAGCACCAAAGTGCAGATCTCGGTCTTACACACAAGGAGGTGAGGGTCCTTCAAGATTTTCCCAGGTTACTCCCAGAGAGCAAGGGCTTAACAATGCTTGGTTGCTTATTGCTACGCAAACACAAGCACCAACTTTCCGAGTTCTATTTACCTGCCAAATTTACTCAGACGGCAGTTGTCAGGCAACAATGCTTATCTCCAAAGTTCGTAAAACGGTAAAATTAAGAATTACCGTAGGATGAGCGAAAGAGGTGAAGGCACACATTTTTAGTAATAAAATTAATAAGCCCTGGGGATGAAAAGGACCTTATGAGGACTACGGTCAGTAATATTGTAGTTACATTGTCATGACTCCACTCGAGGGGTGGGCACTGCCTAATGTGTAGATGTGTCGAATCACGCTATGCTGTGCCCCTAAAACTCATGTAGCATTGTGCGTCAACTGTTCTTCAGTGATAAAAATTTCAAAGTTATTGTAGTTAGGGCCATTGCAGAGGTATTTAGGAGTTCAGAGAATATTACAAAGTATTAAAAGTGCTTTGCAAATATTCTCTTGTTAGCTTTATTGCCGAAATCAGGACTTACCTTTCATAGCAATGAAATCCCCACCTGGTGTCAGGCACTGATGATTATTATCTTACTGATTTGTATCGCTAGTTCCCTATGAATGTCTTTGTGTCCCCAACCAATTTTGAGGTTATTTAAGGATGAAGACTACATTTTGTTCCTGTTGCACTTCTCCGCAGGTGACCTGCAGGCAGTGGCTGCTCATCAGTTCACTGATAATTAAGAGGACAGCCTGTCACCAGTGACCTGGCTCATTTCCATGTCTTTCTTTGCAGCCCTTTGTCATACACGACATGGAGACATTGTGTATGGCTGAGAAGACTCTGGTGGCCAAGTTGGTGGCCAACGGCATCCAGAACAAGGAGGCGGAAGTCCGCATCTTCCACTGCTGCCAGTGCACGTCCGTGGAGACCGTCACCGAGCTCACCGAGTTCGCCAAGTCCATCCCTGGCTTTGCCAACTTGGACTTGAATGATCAGGTCACTTTGCTGAAATACGGAGTTTATGAGGCCATATTTGCCATGCTGTCTTCTGTGATGAATAAAGACGGGATGCTGGTAGCATATGGAAATGGCTTTATAACTCGTGAATTCCTAAAGAGCCTAAGGAAACCGTTTTGTGATATCATGGAACCTAAGTTTGATTTTGCAATGAAGTTCAACGCGCTAGAGCTGGACGACAGTGATATCTCCCTTTTTGTGGCTGCTATAATTTGCTGTGGAGGTAAGTCGTTGGCCGAATGTGGTGCCACGTCACCTGCAGCCTCCTATCCCGCAGGACAGCAGTAAATCTGGTCTGTGCGTGAGTGGTGCGCCGTGGAGTGCACACTGGCAGACGGGAGGGCGTCTGAGCCCCTGCGTCGCCACCGCGGGGAATTAAGTGAGAATTATACTGTATCATAGCACAGCATATGTTATTATATGTAAATATATATTTGTACATTATATAAATATGTTCCATCCATAATTATGTTACATACATGATATTCTATTTCTAAGTATAATATAACTATATCAAATAGATTAGGTGCAATGGTAATATAATTTTATCTAACATATCTAATATCTAATACATCTTAGAATCATAATATACGGTGTGTATTATTATAGAATTCTATTATTATAGTATCATATCCATATCATAGACAGTATTCTATGAAATGCCATACAGATGTTAGTACAGTTTATCTCACTATTGGTATATTTATTCTATTTCATAATGAAAAATATCGGTAGCTAACTGGCGGTGTTTGCAGTTTGCCTTGCCAAAGGAAATGGATCCCAGTGAAGGAAAATCTGGGCCTCTCTGCAGGGAAGCTGGCTCTGCAGCTCCCAGAATTTTGGCTCAGTGTCCTGTTCCTTTAAATAACCCTGTCCTGGTAGAAGAAGGTCATCCCCATACTGTAAACTCAGCTGACCTCACCCAGCCTGGGGGAGACTGACGGGGCGACCACCGACCACCGCCACAAACTGCTAGAAGGTGTGCCCCACAGTTGGCTGACTGGTGGAGCTGAGGCTGGTCACAGCCACCCAGACTCCGGGAGCCCCACAAGGCCCGTCCCTGCTGTCCCTGTTACTATCCAGCTGTGCACGGTCAGGTGGAGGGAGTCCTTATGCTCTGGCAAAAAATGTAAAATGCAGAACAGTTGTACGTAAGCTACCCTTGTCCTTTGTACGCTCAAGATGTAGTGTTGTGGGTAAAAAGCAATTGCACCACCCTCATGAGTGGTAGGAGCACAGTTTTCTAAAAGAAATTATAATCATATATCAATCCTGGGGCACCTGGGTGGCTCAGTCAGTTAAGCCTCTGACTCTTGGTTTTGGCTCAGGTCATGAACTCAGGGTCGCGAGATAGAGCCCAGTATCAGGCCCCACGCTGAGTGGGGAGCCTGCTTCAGATTCCCTCTCTCTCCCTCTGCGCCCCCCCCCCCCCCAATGCTGGCTCTTTCTCTCTCAAAAAAAAAAATCATGTATCAATCCTATATATAGAAAAGGGTCTGGTGTGATACACATTAAACCTCATGAGGGGGATTCGCTTTCTGTTTTTTTTAATCTGTTTAAAAAGTGAGTAATTATATTCATTTTACAACCAAAAAAAGCAATGAAAAAATCCACACCCTTAGCAACACTTTTAACGATCCTAGTAAGGACGGGGCTTTGAAGAGAGCACTGCCTATTGGACAGGGACGGGGACAGGGTGTGTTCTGGACCCAAGGCAGGACGCGTGGTCTCAGGCTGCCTGGGAGGTCCGGTGCCTGCGGTTGAGCTACCCCAGGGAGGGCGTGTGGTGTGTTCGCTGACCTGCCGGGACCAGATCTCAGGCCTCCCTGGGGCTCGGCAGCATCCTGTGCAGCTACCATCTGCCACCTTGTTCCCCAGTCTATGCAGCTGACTCGTACCGGAAGACTGTAGCTTTCCTACCCTCACAGCGCTTTACGCCACAAAACCAAGTCTAACACAATCACACTCCTTCACGTGGTGATGGAAAACCTGAAACCAGATATCTAGTTTTCATTCAAGAAGAAGTATTTCATTTCATATTATGCAAAACTGGTTGTTTTAATCATCATCGGAATGTATGGTTACTCCTAATGTTTTGGGGTTTTTCCCCTGACCGGTGGTAATCAGATAAACCCAAAATGAAAGGGCCATGCTGCAGGGCAGCTGGTCGATTTAAGGTAGTACACAAATATTTAGGACCGAGTATTTGTCCTGTCTGCCCAGTAGGCCCAGTGACTTTGGAAGAATGGAGTTCTGTCTTCCAGCCGAGTCCAAGGCGGAGTAAGAAAGAAAGGCCACATAAAATAAGAATGTTTGGTTTCCCCAACCGATAAACAGTTACGAGGCGTCAGTGGAGTGATTATCACAAACATGTCTTCTTTCTTTTGAGACTAGATCGTCCCGGCCTTCTAAACGTGGGACACATTGAAAAAATGCAGGAGGGCATTGTGCACGTGCTCAAACTTCACTTGCAGACCAACCACCCAGACAACACCTTCCTCTTCCCAAAACTCCTTCAAAAAATGGCAGACCTCCGGCAGCTCGTCACAGAGCACGCGCAGCTCGTGCAGGTCATCAAAAAGACGGAGTCTGACGCCGCCCTGCACCCGCTGCTGCAAGAAATCTACAGGGACATGTACTGAGGGCTTGAAAGTGAAACGCACAAGCCACGTGCCAAGGACTTCTAAAGTCAACAGCACTACAGATGGGGAACGGGAGCAACATCGCTTTGCACAAATTCCACCATTTTCACCTCAGAGAATGGGACGGATGAGCCCTAGGTAACCGGAACCCTAGACCACATTTCTTTCTTTTTCACACCAGTACTTCTGAGAACGTGCAAAGTATTAAAATGCTGGTGACAGGTAGCTGATAGGCAGTTCTTAGAAAATTAAGGGGAATGATGCCCAGCGGTCTGATTTTAACTCACCTGATATTAATCAATGCAGATTTCTTGATATCACATGAGTAACATAGCGCTGAATTAACTGGTGACCTCGAAATACGTGGTCTGTCTTCGCCTTTTGCTGCCTTTTGACTGTTGCGCTCCCTTATCATTTTAAAAACTAATCAGCACTTTTTAACTTTTATAATCCTGTAAATCTAGATGAATCCAAAGGTTAGGTATTTTTAAAAAACAGCAAAATATTTATTGGGAAGACTCTAATTCTGTTTCCTGAATTTGAAGACAGACAACGTGCTGTTTCTTAATCATAGGATTTAAAATTTCAGAGGATTCTTTGATAAGCTATCCAAACGCAGCAGTCGGTTGGTTTTCACTGTGTTCATGGCTGTGACTTAATAGGGCGGAAGGGCCTGTTTCCAGGTTTGTATAGAAGATCCCAGAAAGCCGCATCTCAAGACTCCCCCTGGACTCGATGCTCTGCCTGTTTCAAGCTGGCATCTGGAGTCAGCAGGAGCAAGACAAACGGAAAGTATGTCAGTTGTCCATCCCTCTGACCTATTTCCTATCAAATCAGAACCAACTGAGTCAGATTGTTTGGGGGCCATGATAGCGTTTTCGGGGGCAAACTGACAAGTTGTTTGTCAGTGTTCCTCTGGGCCCCATGTGTCAAGGCAGCTCCTTGGCCTTTTCCTGTGTTGCTTTTTAAAATATGCAGCTTTATTTTATTTTATTTTTAAAGATTTTATTTATTCATTTATTTGAGAGAGTGAGAGAGAGAGAGAGAGCACATGAGAGGGGGGAAGGTCAGAGGGAGAAGCAGACTCCCCGCCGAGCAGGGAGCCCGATGCGGGACTCGATCCCGGGACTCCAGGATCATGACCCGAGCCGAAGGCAGTCGCCCAACCAACTGAGCCACCCAGGCACCCCGCAGCTTTATTTTTTTAACTCTTGGTGGCAGTAGCTGCTCCCGAGAGTGTAGAAGGCAAGGCAAACAGGACTTTGGAGCGTGGGCCCCAAGGGGACCACGTGGAGAATGAGGGGGACAGGCACAGAGTCCTTCATGGGGCAGTTTTCCAGTTACATAGGGAAGGCGGCTTTCCCAACATCTGAAATATTTGTTTCAGCCTCAAAGATCATTTCTCAACCCGGTCTGGTTATGAAAGCAGTGTTAATAGTGGTTTTCGTCCCAGAGCATATGGACCTGGAAAGACTCTTTCTGTCCACCGTGGTATGTAAATGTCCTGTCAGGGGATTTACAGCAGCCCTGCCCTGCAGGCCAGCCCGACCTGAGCTGACACCTCCGCAAGGGTGTCACTGGCCACCTGCCCCTGACCCCCTGCCTCATGGCAGCTCGTCGTAGCACCTGGTTGTACCTTTGGCACCCCTCCCCCTCCGTCTCTAGAAAACGTGGCTCTAGAAGGTCGCTATACTTGCTCTGGAAGAATGATTAGGATTGAACTTGATAAAGTTCCCAAGGTCAGCATCAAGGAAATTCAACAGGAGAGAGAACGATAAAACTGTAAGGTTTCAACTAGAAAAGGCGAACACATGTGCCCGTGAAAACGGGCACATCCTCCTCAAAATTAAACCTTAGTGGTAGTTTTCATTTTTATTTTGTTGAGAGAGCCAATCAAAGGATCTGTTGGAAGCAGATAAAAGTATTTCCACGTATGAATGATACCTGTCCAGAGGTCATCCCGAGTCAGAGGGCACGCACGTCCATGTGGGCGTTCTTCCCTAAGACAAGGCCCCTCGGGCTGGTGCCACGTCTGTGTTGCCTCTGTCGACCACTGGCCTCTCTTCTCAGGTGTCCCAGGTAGATGCCATTGGTGGACGTGGCCTCAGAAAGGGACCCTCAAGACCCAGGCTTTCAGAAAAGTCGCTCGCTCTGGTTCTGTTCTCATAAAACTTATTTTTAAAAGCTCTTTATTTCATGCATTCTGCCGCCGAAGTCACCGGGTTCTGTAGTGCTAGTGTTAGTGAGCCTTTGGCTCTCTTGGGGCCCGGCTAGGCTCCCAGCGATGTTCCCGGTGAGGCCACGAAGGAGGCTGCAGAGAGCGCAGCTCGAAAGTCACTTGAATTCGTTCACTGGTACCGATGGGAAGAAAATCACAGATTCCCGTTCATTTTAAGTAACAGTCACTGATTGCCACGCAGAATGTTCGGGCCATCTAATCAAAGATTTCTCAGTCCACCGACAGTCAGATACAGACAAATTATTCACCCGTTCAGAATACTGTCGCATTTCCAGTAGGGACTCGTTAAAGCGCATTTATTGCCTGCTGGATTTCAGCAGACATCAGCACGAAGTGGGGTAGATATGACAGAACAGGTTCGAGAAGCCTCAGACCAGAGCACGGAGCCCCTCCTCTGCTGGGGAGCTCGGCCCGCGGTGCAGCTCCCCTCGCTACCACCTTGATGCCCTTTGGCAAGTCACTGTTTGTAGCCACAAGTGCCACATGCCTCAGAGACCACAAAATTACACCCAGCCTTCGTCTGCAGGGCTGAGAAGGAACGAGTCCTGAACTCAGCAGGCAGCTCCAGCTCCGGAGCCGGCCTGGCCCGCTCTCCCCAGTCCTTTTCGTCCTCCCAGGCATTTCCAGCTGGGTGTCCCACACACGGAATCCTGCCCCTGCCACCTTGAGGGCCGCACACACCAGTGGCCGTCTTGGGGAAGCCCAGCAGCATCAAAACCAGGATGCTGGCAACTGCATCAGCACAAGTGAGAGGCAGGGCAGTGTGGGAATCATCAAAGCGCCAGTGAGCCGCTCCTTCCTTCCCGCCTTGCTCTCGAGTTTCCCTGTGGCCTTCCTGTAACTCTCGGATGAGATGCACTCCAAGCATCTCCCTAAAGAGTAGGTGTACATATGGCAATAAGAATGTGAAGTCCAGGAGAAGAACCTTGGTGCATGGTGCATTCAGGAATGCTTGTGAGAGCGATCCTTGTTTTAAAGGGACTCTTCATTTTAAGAGCAAGCATGTATCCTTCTGCATTTCGGATGCATTTCTTACTGAAACTCTAAGGGAGCGAACAGCCTCAAGGATCATGTGGGGGTTCCAGAGACAGGGCGGCGTCCTAAGATCTGAGCAGAAGCTCAAGGCACAAGTAAAATCCTTTGTTTAATGTGCGATAAGTAGATTATTAATTTAGCAACTACTGTTTCCCCAAATCTACAGCATAACCGCTACCTCAATATGATACATCAAAAGGCACAGTTAAAATTAAGGTACACGAAACACTCGGGGTCCTTCTGGAGCATCTATAGTCAGATCATTTATGAATAAGATTCAGAAGTTACACACCTTTGCTTGATTGCACGCTGAGAGGCAGAAGGTCATGTGACTTCTTAAAGGCACTTCGGTTGAGCCTCCAAGATACACATGTGCAGAAGTTGCTGCCCCCAGTTTGGGTGAGTTGGAGCATGACCCAGGTCTGGAAGTGGGAACAGTCACTGGCCGCAGTGACCCGCCCTGTGGAGGGCCTCCCCTGCTCCTCGGCTGCACCTGCTGGCCGAGGCAGCCTGCTCAGGGAGAGACCCTGCCAGATGAGGCTGGAAGCAGATGCCTCCGGGCCGACTTAGCCGGGCTGTGACTTTTCAAGGCGCACTTGGGCCTCCTTGCTGCTTCTGGGCACTTCCTTCCTCGTGCTCCCTTCTTCAAGCCACAGCAGCACCAAGCACATTTGATACCTAGCCACTGCATACACGATGGAGGGTGGTTTTTTGGTTTGTTTTTGTCTCGACCCAGTGGCCACACCCGTCTCTGGAATGTCTTACAAATGCCTGTTTCAAGAGGGGTACACTGTTTTGACCAACCTGCACTGCAGGTGTTCCTGGAGGGGCCACTTACTGAAAGCCTTTAAGTTCACAGCAGTGTGTCCATTCAGGATGGCAAGGACATCCCACTGTCTGTGGAAGTCACCAGCTACGATCGATGCCAGCCACCGAGGGCTTACTGATTATTAAGTGTCCGTGGAAGTTTCTTCCCACGTACCCAGTCTTTATAGCACAGGCACAGCCCAGCACCGGGTGACTCCAAAGCCAGGCTCTCTGTACTTGTTCTTCTCCTTTTAAAAAAAAGTGGCCCAGCTTCTCTTAACTCTTGGTCCAAGCTGATGTATAGGGGTCCCCCTGGGATTAAGGATTCTTGCCAGGCTCCAAAGGTTGAGTCTACATTTTTTGCTGGGATATATATATGCCATTTTAACAGAATTCAGGAAAATGGTCATTGACCCCCAGCCTGTGACACACACCAGAGTAAGGATAAAGGCAGTGAACTTTCCTCTGACTCAGGATAGAGGAGATCCATTACATTTCTCTGGAAACCACAATGCAAATTAGAGGGGATACTGAAAGTTGAAAAGACAATGAGTCTTCATGCGTTAGTTTAAAGAATTACAGAATTCTTTCCACGATGCTGTTTTGTGGAGTGCAGCTGGGTGTCTTAATACTCCCATGGAGTGGGCTGAGGCTCATAAAGGCTGTGGGTGTGGCCCACGTAATCGGACAGCAACTGAGAGGCTAGCAGCCTGAGGCCTGGGACACCTTCTCAGGTCTAGCATGGGGCTCTCAGCAGACCATTTGCTTCTCAACATTTCAGGCTGAGACAAAGACAAGTGTCACCGTGTAACTACCCCACCTCGGGAAAACGGGGGTGGGGAGGACAGGGACCATATAATGTGGCTCAGCTGAAATACATACAGCCACATCCTTTTGGAATTCCTTGCCAAACAGAACAGACCAAACTGCACCCATGTTCAATGTCACGTCTTGATTGAAGCAATGGAGAATGTCAAGGACTCCAGGGGCCCCCTAGCTGTTCAATGCCTTATTTGCCAAAAGAAAAGAAAAAAAAAAAAAAAAAACCACTAAGAAACTTTTTTTTTTTAACATCAGAGATAGGGTTAAGACCTGGATCAGGTTTTTTTAATTTAAAATGTTTGCTATTTTGGGTCAAATGTGAAGAACTTCCCCAAGTGCTTCTCTGGAGAAGGAATATACTAGCCTCCTCCTCCCTTACCCTTCTCCCCACACCCAACATCTAAACTTTGCTAATTCGACAAACTGCGGCACCATGGAGACCAGTGCAGGGACCCGCCCTCCACCATGAGCCCGGAGGTGAGGGCTCTTGCCCCCAGGGGGTCCCCCGGCCTCAGCATGGCCTTCTCAGGGCAGGGAGGTCAAGCTTCGGGCCCTGAAGACAAGTGAGTGACCGATCTTTCCAAAGTAAAATCATTCACTTTTGGAAACTATCTTCTCTTTTTAAAAGCACAGACAGTCTGTTCCTTTTTTTCAGGCCTAAAAAAACAAAGGAAAAAAAAAAAGTACCTCACAATAGATGAATACCACTCAGTACCCTTTCCAGTAAGGTCACAGTATTTGTGTTTGTCATTTTTCCTACACTGTATGGTAAAATGAACTATGTTAATAGCTATATCTTAAATACTGTGATTCAAGTTTAAGAAAAATTTTAGTGTATTTTACTAACTTACAATCCTGCATCTAATAACAAAGATTTGGATTCTTTTGAAATCAGTATTAGTTGACACACACTCTTAGTAGCCTGGCTCATGGAACCTACTGGAAACACAAAGGATGCTGGAATATAACTGACATACAGTTGCATACACATGTGCACACATACACAGCTTTTTGTCTCTCCCAAGCCATGCAGAATTTTATTTCCCCGTGTAAATCTGTTCCCTTCGTCATGAGTCACATGCGAGTACAAGCGAGTCTGTTTTCACCGTCTCTTCTGGCAAGGGGGCCAGAGACCCAGGTCCAGAGTCACTTACTGCTCCCAGCAGTGTCCTGCTGAAGACCTGAACTATTCCTGGGTCGTGGGTCACGGTCTGTTCTTCAGGAAATTATTACCTGTGGGTTATTACCAAAGCACTCAGGCAATCCGAAATCTTCGGGTGGGATATTTGCACCGCTGGTTGTCTGGCAGCCCCCCGATGGCCCAGCCCGAAGCATACAATGGAAACCACAGACCCCGTGAGGCTCCTGTGGGTCGTTCGCAGTATCTCGGCAGAACTTCTTCATGTCCACAGGGCCATGGCACTGAGAGTGTCTGACTGACACATGTCAGAACATCAGATGGATGCAGATTTCCAAAGCAAGACTGAGCTTGGTTTCTTGGTGTGTTTGTTACCACTCTGGTGCCTTATACTCTCCCAAGTATTCAGGGGCTGACAGACCCCTCGTCTTCATACTAAACAGGAGCAGTTCCAAAGCAGATCTTTTAGAGCAGGTTCTGGGGTTCTCTCTCTGGGTCTGGAGAGGGGGGCATCCATCCAGGGCCTCAGGGAACAGGGGTGTGCACAGAAGAGCAAATGGAATCTTCCGAGTCACATTAACCAATAGCGGTTCCAAGCAATTAGAAAATGACTGTAACTTTAATTTTTAAAAAATCTTCGGTCTTATTCTGTTTCCTGCTAGGAGATTGAATTGATCACGTATGTTGATTAATATCCTGAATTTATGGGAATGTACAGGTTTGGAATGTCCTACTGTAAGACTGATGAATGTAAGGAGTTAATTTCAGGGTATAGTGTTGCCTTAATGGTTTTAAAAAATAAAACTCTTTTTTAAAATTGGCTGGTGAGTTCTGAGTGATGCCGTGAGATGAACATTTGGCTTGAAAATCCCCGGCTATAGCGTCTGCCCTCAGCCCAGAGCAGCCCCCGCCCCACTCCCCCAGGGGTCTTCACCTCTAGTCCTTTTGTCCTTCGGTTCGAATGGACCTAGGACAGTGTGGCCCCAAAATGACAGCCATTTGTCTAAAGTAATGTGATGCAGGGGAAGCATCAGGAAATAAAACCCAGTGCACACATCAGCCAATAAAAGCTCTTTCTTCATTCTCTCCTCAAATGCATGTCTGCCCCCCACCCCTGCCCCGGGGGCAGCGTCAGCTGGCCTCCCAGTAGTTACAGGTGAAGACAGAGCCGCTCCAGCCCTGAGAGCCAGCAGACAGAGGCCAACGAGCCATTCAGTGTGTCCCCCACGGCATGGGGGCCACGGGGGCAGGGGAGCCCGCAGGAGGGGTGCCCGTGGGGGAGGAGTGCCCCAGGGCCGCCTACAGTAGCCTGCAAGGCTGGTGCAGGGTCCCCCATGGAAAGGGGCAAGCCAGCACCTCAAGCTGTGAGCCCCTGCATGAGGGAAGGGAAGACAGGGGAAGGGCATTGCTCTACCTTGGAATGGGACTGGGCCTATAGGGGCCAGAGCCAGAGCCCGCGGGACAGATAGGATGGAAGAGACTGCACGTGGCAACACCCCAGCCCCCAACCAATGCCAGATCCAGGGTGCCAAGGAGAACATCTGCCTCGCAAATGTTTCCAGGGAAGGATTACTTTTCAAAAAATTAACCAGTTCTTTGGGTATTTAATTATGGACCTAACACATGGCCAAGATTTAAAACGTTTTCCAAGCACGAGGATGTGAAATAAAATTCCACTGCCCCCAGACCCCCAATCACGCCTGCAGCTCCCCACACACCTCAGGCACCTTCCCACAGGTCACCTCCCTGTGAACCGTCCCAAAGAGTGACATCTTCACCGCATGAACACTCACTCCCCAGGATGGGGAAGACAGGAGTCCCCACCCCAGCCATCCTGCCTCCGCATAAGCACGGACAGCATGACCACCCAGCATGACCAGAGGGCCTCCTCACACTAGACCAGGACAGTGGGCTTTGTCCCTTCGCTCCTGTGTCCTCAGGGCCAGGCAGAGTAGCATGTCACCTGGAGGCACTCCTGGATCTGATGAATCATGCGAAGGGCACAAGGGCCTTCCAGGTCCAGCCGTGTGTAAGCAGGAGCCAGGGGATGACCCTGCGGGAAGGCCTAGAGCCCCAGGTCCAGGAGGAGAGCAGAAGGGCCAGCAGGCCCAACCTCGACTTCCCTTTGTGCCAGTTCTGAGCCATTTCTCAGTTCTTGCCCTGCAGTCTCAGCATCAAGGGGGCTCTGGACACGGTTAGGTCTGCAGGATATCTGGTCCAAGGCCTGCCTTTTGAGTGCCTTCTCTGCCCGACTCCCGATCACCTTCCTGCTGCAGGCTGGGCCCCAGCTCGCTCCAGCTGCACACGCTGCTCCTGCCTGCCCCGGAACAAGGCAGGGTACGATAGTTCCCAACTCAGCCCCATCCCTGACCCAGGCTGCAGGGACCCTGCCAGCCCAGAAGCTCTGTGCTAGGTGCTAATGCCAACCTGGCACCCAGCTGCACTCATGTCCGAGAGCCAGGCTGGCTGGCCGGCCTCTTTGATGGAGCTTTCCTTTTCTCCAAGTCTTGCCGGATTTCCTGAGGGAAGGCATCCATGTTTTCCTGGACACAGGGGAGGCAAAACCTCTTGGAATAGAATAAACTGCATTCCTGAAAGAGGATGGGGGAAGGATGGGGGCTAAGTACCACAGAGCAGGGGGTGCAGCTTCTCCCAGAGGCCAGTCCTTCACCCCGTACAGGGCGGCGGCGGGGAGGGGAGGGTGCTAGGCAGGGGCAGCTGGGGGGCCATGTTGGCAGGGGCTGGCCAGGGCCAGAACAGCACGAGGGAGAGCAGGGCCCAGGGGCTGGCCAGCCACCTCCAAGAACGCGGTCATCACCTAAGAGAAAAAGACACAATGGAGGGCCGCCAGGGAGGAGAGAGCAAGTAGGCAAGAGACCCCTGTCAGCCCCTGCAGGCAGTGGGGTATTGGGGGGTTCTGAGCATGTGGGAATCACCCAGTGAGATTGGCGAAGGTGTCAGAGAGAACAAGGCAGTGCAGGCCTGGGTCAACCCAGGTGAGAGAGCGTGGATGGAGTGGAAAGACTCTGGGGACTGCCATGCTCCGTCACGGGGGACGTGGAAACAACGAGAAGCTAGAGCCAGGGCCACACCTAAACTGTCAGAGATTCTAGATTCCTCCCTCTCCTGGTTATCACAGCAGTGTGACAGGGGCTTGGTGACCACCGGTGCTGGGCGCAGCCACTGGTGAGTGGCTGGTCTGGGCGAGAGGTCAGATCTGTCCAACCGCGGCCATTCTCCCCTGTGCCCATCTTTTGCCACTCAACTCCTGAGACTCATTGCCCAGGGCCCTGTCCAAAGACTACTTTCCCAGCCCCTTCTGCAACTGGGTGTGGCCACAGGACTGGGTCTGTGTCATTGGCAGCTCTGTGCCGCCTCCTGGTTGTGCCCTTTGAAGGAATGGGCATGTGCTCCCTGTCTCTTCCGGCAGGTGGGAGCATAGGTATGATGGTGGGAGCTGAGGCAGCCACTGCGGACCCAGCACATGCTGTGTTTTGAGAATGGCATGGCGCCACCTGCTCTAGACTCTTAGACATACAAAAAGTGAAGATTGTCATGATCAGGCCACTGTGTTTAGGGGGTCTCTCTGTTCCAGCAGCTCAGAGTGTGCCTCAGCTAAGACAAGGCTGTCCTTCCTGCAGTTCTCGGAAGAGATCTGTTCCCATGTTAAGAGAGGGGACTCGCCACCAACCAAGCACTTCATCCGAGAACACTGGAGCTCTCGGATACCATATGGAGCACCCTCTCCTCTGCTCACCAAGTGCAGCCCAAATGTGTAAGTGTGGCATTTAAGGCTTCTCCCCTCCCCCATGCCCAACCCCCCTTTCCATTTCCCAACTGCTTCTCTCCTGCTGAGTCCTCACCAGCTGCCGCATGTCCTCGAACACGCAGGCCTCTGCCTTGCTAAGGCTTCGTCGCACCCTGTCAAATCTCATCACCCTGACGTTGACAGAGGCTGATGTTTAAACCCAGTCTGTGATGCAGCAGCCTTGCCTGTACTCTGCCCCCTAGCAGAATGCCCAGGGACTGCTGTCCGGCTGTACGGCTCGGGTTACAGGGGCCACACCTCAGCCACGCAGCCCACTTCCACCCACCCCTGGGTTGTCCAACAATAGGCTCGCTAACCTGGTGGCCTGGGCCTACTCAGCCTCCTCAACCCTGTGTCCTCACCTATCAGATGGGGGCAATACTGCTTTGCACAGCTAGGTTTGGGGCAGGATTGAAGGAACCTGCGCTGGGAAAACAGGCCCCGAGCACAGGGCCTGACCCACAGCTAATGCTCAAGAAAGCACAGTTCCTTCCTCCAGAAGGTCCCTCCAAGAACAAGCAGGAAGAGGGTCACTGTCCCATGGAGAGAAGCACAACAGCCACTGGCATGGCTGGGAGGGGGAGAACTGTCAGCACCCACTCCGCAGCCAACACTGAGACCCTCTGACTGACCCCAGCTCGCCCCTCTATCTGCTCACCTCTGTTGGCTGCAGGACCCAACCATAATGAGGTGGACCAGCTGGCCTCCAAGAATCCCCGGGCCCCCCACCATGTGACTGAGAGGGCTCCTAGGATCACCTCCACAGAGAGAGGCTGATGCTCATGCCATCCTTGGGGAAGGCTCACAGGTCACCTTTCCCACGATCATGTGTGGGGTCCCAGCCACAGGGAGGGAGGGAGGGAGGGAGGGAGGGAGGGGAGGCAGCCCCAGCCCACGCAGCTTACCCACCGGGCCCACGCACACCAGCCGGCTGCACAAACTGCACTTTGAGCCAAGGACCAGGAACCTGTCCTTGTCCGAGGTGAACGGGTCCTTCATGATGTAACTCTCCTCCAGGAGGCTGCAGGACAGTAAGTGACGCCAGAGGTCAGCACGGCCTGAACTTCTACTAATGGAAGCTTGGAAGCGGCACGGAATGGACCTCCCCCGGGCCCCCCACACACCTGGGTGGGTTCATGGGAGGAGGGGCCGGTCCTCCCTGTGCCACCGGGTAGTAACAGAAAGGCAAGCCATCGGGGAGAGGCTGGAACTGAAATCAGAGCTGCTCTCGGCTCTAACAGCCGTGGTGGGGAGAACCACTCCTCCCCAGCTGCTGCAATGCAAGGCCCCAGACCCCACCTGCCCGCTGGGGTGGGGGCAGGGAGCACAAGGTCCGTCCGAGCTCTCGAAGCCCTTCCCTACACTCCCAGCACGGTGACACCCACTCCCAAGCTGTGCTCCCAGCACGCAGGGAGAACCAGGGCGCCTTACACCCTGCGTAAGGTGCTGGCCTCAGCCCGCACATCAAAGGAGACCAACAGGGGTCCGTGATGATGGTGCTCCTGGTCAGCAGAGGTACCCACCCACAAGAAAGCCCTGGCCCCCGCCACCTATCCCATGTGAGTAACATACTGGGTGAGCGATGTACTGGTCAGCTTCCCCACGATGTGGCATTCAACGAAGGACGAGTTAGAGGTCAAGAGTCAAGCTCCAGAACCCACTGGCTCTACTCAAGGTCGGTTCTGGGCAGATTCATGAGAAGCTGGTCCTTAGGACCCACTTCCCTCAGGCAAGAGGGCAGGCGGGCTTCCCACTAAGAAAGTACGTCACCAGGAACCAGGAGGAAGGGCAACAAGGCGCAGCCCCAGATGAAGAGGCTGCCACGGGGCCTTCTACTTCCAGGAGTTGAGCTGCCTCAGCCAGAGCCACCGCGCTTCTACCTCACAGCTGGAGCAGGTGCCGGTCTCTGGGCCGAGGGGGGCGGGAGGGGCCTGGAGGTTCTGGAGGAGCCAGAAGGCCCTGGGGCCTTGCCCGGTGCCTCCGCAGGTCACCCCTGCGGCGTCCAGAGCCTGGGAGGGATGGGCCTAAAACACGACTCCCACGCCACATGTCCGACTCAGGCGAGGCCCCGGCCAAGCAGCTCAGCCAGCGGCCCAAAAAGTGCGGCGTACTCACATGACAGAGTGGGTGTCAGGGGGCTTCTGCCCCACATAGCTGTACGGAGCTGTCAGGGCACAGAGCTGGCACGTAAACACACCCAGAGGACAGCGCTCTGCCTCAGCCTCCATCTGCGGGCTCAGGAGAGGTGGCACGTCGCCTTCAGAACCAAGAACCGCCACATCTCGAAGCCTCCCGCTGCATGCTGCCTGGGCGCCCAGCGCCGGGCTTTGCTCCCGCCGGGTTCGGAAAGTCCCCCGGCTACCGCCGCGGGCCTCTCTCACGTGGGGGCTTTCAGGAGTCCGAATAGCTCTCTCTCTCTGTCATCTATCTATCACCTATCACCTATCTATCTAACGAATATCTCTCTCTATCATCTATCACCTATCATCTATCAAACGAATATCTCTCTATCTATCATCTATCTCTCACCTATCATCTATCTAACTAATATCCCTATCTATCATCTATCACCTATCATCTATCTATCTAACGAATATCTCTATCATCTATCACCTATCATCTATCTAACGAATATCTCTATCTATCATCTATCACCTATCATCTATCTATCTAACGAATATCTCTATCTATCATCTATCACCTATCATCTATCTATCTAACGAATATCTCTATCATCTATCTATCACCTATCATCTATCTAACGAATATCCCTATCTATCATCTATCACCTATCATCTATCTATCTAACGAATATCTCTATCATCTATCACCTATCATCTATCTAACGAATATCTCTCTCTATCATCTATCACCTATCATCTATCTATCTAACGAATATCTCTATCATCTATCACCTATCATCTATCTAACGAATATCTCTATCATCTATCACCTATCATCTATCTATCTAACGAATATCTCTCTCTATCATCTATCACCTATCATCTATCTATCTAACGAATATCTCTATCATCTATCACCTATCATCTATCTATCTAACGAATATCTCTCTCTATCATCTATCACCTATCATCTATCTATCTAACTAATATCCCTATCTATCATCTATCACCTATCATCTATCTATCTAACGAATATCTCTATCATCTATCACCTATCATCTATCTATCTAACGAATATCTCTCTCTATCATCTATCACCTATCATCTATCTATCTAACGAATATCTCTATCATCTATCACCTATCATCTATCTATCTAACGAATATCTCTATCATCTATCACCTATCATCTATCTATCTAACGAATATCTCTCTCTATCATCTATCACCTATCATCTATCTATCTAACGAATATCTCTATCATCTATCACCTATCATCTATCTATCTAACTAATATCTCTCTCTATCATCTATCACCTATCATCTATCTATCTAACTAATATCCCTATCTATCATCTATCACCTATCATCTATCTATCTAACGAATATCTCTATCATCTATCACCTATCATCTATCTATCTAACTAATATCCCTATCTATCATCTATCACCTATCATCTATCTATCTAACGAATATCTCTATCATCTATCACCTATCATCTATCTATCTAACTAATATCCCTATCTATCATCTATCACCTATCATCTATCTATCTAACGAATATCTCTCTATCTATCATCTATCTATCACCTATCATCTATCTAACGAATATCTCTATCATCTATCACCTATCATCTATCTATCTAACTACAGGGTTTCTTTTTTCCGTCGCCTGCCTGCGCTTCCTCAGCCCAAGTCTTTGACCTGTGGTCCGGCGCCTTCCACTAGATTTCCAACACGTCCTGACCGTCACCACTTCAAGCAGCTCTCGGCCCCATTCTCCGGCCTGCGGCGCTTCCGGCCGCGAGCCCGCGCGACTCCCACGCCGTCCTTCCGGTCGCGGCCTCAGACCCCGGCTGTTTCCTTCTCCCTCCCCGTGCGCTTCGGTCCCGGGCACGGGAGGCGGACGCGCCCCCGACAGCCTTCTTCCACCGCTGTTCTACCCGCGCACCTCCGCCTGGCTGCCTCAGTTCCCTGGAGGGCCGCCCCCGGACTCCGCGCTCCAGGACCCTCCGGCCGCTGCTCCCAAACGGCGGGCAGCAGGGAACAGCCGCGCCGCCAGGGCGCGCAGCGCGCCTCCTCACGGACCTCCGCCCGCGGCGCGTGCGCGGGCCCGCCTCCCGGCGGCGACCAACCGGAGCGCGTGCGCGGGCCCGCCTCCCGACAGCGACCAACCGCGGCGCGTGCGCGGACCCGCCCTGGCCCCGCACCGGAAGCCCTGGAGACGCTTTCACGGCGGATTTCCGCCTCTGGGGCGCGGCGGCGGAAGGGGAAGATCGGGCTTTCCTAGGGCAGAGCGATCCCGCTGGGCCTTCTGTAATGGCTACTCCGAACCTCTTCGTTGCTTTCTTGGTTCTCCACCGGGCTTTGCAGAGTCCAGGCGGCTGCAGCGCCACCCCGCATCGTCTTGCTCTCTACGCGCCTGGGCTGGGGCATTACGGTCCTAGCTCGCTGACGCCCTCCATCTGAAGCCCCATTTCCCCCCCACCCCCCACCTAAAACGCGAGTCCCCCGGCCTGGGCCAGCGACACAGGCAGCGGTGGCTGTGTCCGACCTAGGCAACAGACGAGATGGGTTCCAAAGGAGCCCTGGCTTTCCCCGTGGCCTTTATAAAGCGCTGTGCACTCCGGACATGTCCCTGTGCTGCTCGCAACGTGGCCTGCGACGCCCTTTGGGGTCTGAGCCCCACCGTCCTGTCCCTCCCTGGCCTGTCCTGCTCCAGCTTCCAGAGAGCCCTCTGGCCCGCGGGCTGGCCGGGTCCCCCGTCTCAGACCTGCTCTTCCCTCGTGCCCCCCACCCTGCCCCTCTCCAGGCCCCTCTGCACCTACGTAATCCAAGCACCGTGCTGCCCCTGAAGCCAGCAGGCCTGGGGGCTGGGCCGTTTTCCTTTGGGGAATTGAGAAAGAAGGAATATACAAGGCATCTTAGTAATCCTGGCAATAACCACTACTCCTGGGCCTGGACTCCGGGGAGTTGAGCAAGCGCTCCGATTTTCTTACTAGCAGATAGGACCTCTGGGTGCTTCCAGCAATAGCAGCCTTTGGATCAATGCCAAGGTTATATACTGTTTTGACTTTTTTTTCTGGGTCTGGCCAAGGATGGGTCGTTTGGATGAAGCATTTCATATATGACCTATAACCACTCAGATATATGACCTTGTCTCATGAATACTGTAAAAGCTGTTCAACAGGATAGACGAGTTTAGGAGATGGACTAGAAGAGCTAAGGGAAATATTCAAAGAGCAATCATGGTCTTTGACAGAAAATAAAGTTAATTTTGAACTTGAGCTGTCCTCGGTTTTTAATATAAGAAAATACAAGAAAAAATCCAAAAGGATTAACAGTATCTCAAATATTTTTTTAAAAATGGATTCCCAAAAGAAACCACATATTTACAGGGAAAAAGAGAGGGACGCCTGCGTGGCTCAGTTAGCTTCTACATTCCACTCAGGTCATGATCCCAGGATCCTGCGATCCAGTCCCCCTTCCTGCTCCCTGCTCAGCGGAGAGTTGGCTTCGCCCTCTGCCCTCCTGTCTATCTCTTTTTCAAATAAATAAATTAAATTTTAAAAAAAGAAAAAAAAGGAAAGAAATCCAAATCATCCTTCAGACACTATTGGGTGAGTGGCATGGAACACCCGTGTGTGTGCGTGTAAGCCATTTCAGCACAGTCAGGACCACAGGGGCACCGAGTGAGTAGCAAGGCCTTGGGACAAAGTCGTCACCCACCTGATGGCGTTGTCCCCCTTCACTGGCTCTCCACGTGGAGGGCAGGAGCCCTCTGTATATACGCTCCTCACGCAGAAATCACGGCAAGTCTCAGAGGAGAAATCTCACATTTAATTCTGATAAAGCTTAAACTGGCATCTACATAAATGAACATGCTTCTGAGCAGAACTATAAGAGTTACGAGCCCATATTGCTCTTTAACAATAAACCACATTTTCTTTATTATTCCGAAATAATCCACCATGCTGTGAATAACCCAAAGCCCAAGTCCTGGATGGATATATTGTTATAGTCGATATATAGAACATTTACTATCTTTCAGTGTGAACCCACTCCCCACCCCCCACCACAAACATACACACACACACACACCTTTTTGATGTTGAACAAAATTCATGTCTAATGGCTGGAAAATGCTATTAAATTTCACATCTTTAACTGGCAGTAGCCCAAAGGAGTTGGGAAGCTCAGACTTCTGACCCTCAGGTCCCATCCCTGAATTCAAAAGCAGGAGGACAGATCCCAAACTCACCACAAGGTCCCTCCAGCCCTGGCTCAGCTGGATTGTGGGGCCTGGGGCTGATGGGGGGGAGGGGTGCTCCAGCCCTGGTCTGCAAAGGGAACTCCCAGAGAGACTGAGGGAGCCACAAGCTCTTGGCTCCCAGCCCCAGGGACAGTCACAACAGGAGAATGCTCTGCCCTGGAGAGGTGGAGTGGGGGCCCTTTAGCTCTCTCTCCCCCAAATCTGGGCCTCTAATACTCTAAACTGCAGTGCACTCCAAAGACACTAAGTTCCCCTCTAGAGGGAAATCAGCCCTGGGCTCCCATACTGCAGACCTGCCCTATACCCCAACACTCAAGAGTAGAGGCCAAAGGTGGAGATACTTCCGAATGTGGGGTGTGCATTTTCCAGGACATGGGTAGAGAGCACTACTGAGCCACTGAACATTCCTTATACCCACAGAATGAGCATCTGGGGGGACTCTTGCCTATGGTTCTTGACCCTGCCACTGATCACACAACAAGATAAACCATTTTCTTCCCATTGATGTTTCTGGTCTTCAGCCCCAGATACCGGCGGCTGTTCTTCTCCGGCTGCCCATACAGCATGTTGACAAAGAACTCTGGTTCATCTTCGTCCCTGGGTTGGAAGGTCAGAAACCTAAACATAGCTCTTAGCCTGCGACACAGATAGGTCATGGCTTCCGCTTCGTCTGATGGTTCCTCATACACGGGCTGCTTCATTTCCTCATAGGCAGACAAAATCACTGCCTGAAATAAGTTGATCAATATGCAGATCATCACCAGCATGAACGATGAGAGGAACAGGACCCCCAGAACCCTGTTGTTGGAGAACTCGGTGTTCTGAAACGCTGAGACGCAATAGGAGAATATCGTCTGCGTGGCATGGATCAGGTTACTATAGTTCCACTCGTGTTGACCGAACACCAGGTAGCCGAAGGCCATGTACACAAAGAAGTACACGGACACCACCAGGGCCATGTGGCCGATGCCGGGAAGGGCCGCCTGAATGGCCCTCTGAGCCAGGCGCACATCATAAAAGACTCTGGAATACCTGAGGGTCTTCAAGATGGTCAGAAATAACAGGAAACCCAAAATGATCCTCATGACGTGATCTACTTGAGAAACTGCGTGAAAGGGAATGAAATCTGCAGGGTTCGACAAGTAAAACCGAATTATGCCCGTGGCCAAGAAGTGCTTCCTGAAGAAGAGCACAATCAGCACGGTAAATATGCATTTTAAAGCAAAGTTGAGCAGATTATACACACTTCTCACGTAGGAGGCCCTTTCCTGCATGATGATATAGCCCTCATCGACCATGTAGGCTAAAAAAAAAATGAGAATGGCCACATACAAGTAGATTTCTGCTGAAGTTTCCCTGTCGAAATCAGCAACCGAGAAGGAGTGCACGGATATACTCGTGTTCACAACTCCTAACTGAGACGCCTCGAAAATGACAGAAACGCTACAGAACAGACTGACGTCTGGATTGAAGGTGGTCAGCTCCAGAATCACGGCCCACGTGTTCTCGTCAAGCCAGTCGCTGCTCTGGAGTTCCCTGAGCCTCACGGTGGAATTAAACTGCTGCTGTTCTGGGAAAAAATAGAATGCATAGCCTCCTGACCCGTAGGTGTGTAAGAGTCCGTGGGAGAAATAGCCCCATGTCTTCTCCGGAGGCTTGTAAGTAAACCCGTTGGTATGCTTGTCCTCAGACCTCTTTGCAACTTTGGTCCAAAGGCTAGAGTAGTCTCTCGTGTCTTCCGGGTCGGTGCCATAGTTGGGATGACAATGGACTTCTCCTTCCATGCTGGTTTGCGCAAAGTTGTTGGCAGGCAGGCAGAGTTTATGGCCAGCTTTTGCCCTCACCTGCCTCAGCAGGGGAAGACCCAGGATTTTAGAGGAGCTGTCGGGAAGAAACGTTGGATTCGGGTCATTGTGGAGCAGAGGCACTAGCACGCTGTTCAGCCACCTGTAGATGTCCACCAGCTTGGTCACCGAGCCGAGATCCACAGAGAACTGATTGCGAATGAACTGATTATAGTAAAAGCTGTCCGTGTGGCGCAGGAGGGCGACGAGGCTCAACAGGAGGGCTAGAAAGATGAAGTGAGTCAGAATGTAACACAGGAACAGGAAAGCCCTTCTCTTGATTGTCTTCTTTCTTTTGAATATTAGGATTTCATCTTCCGTGAGGGGCTGGTACATCCTCGATCTTCGGAGCTGCACGATCTGCTCATGTCGCTTTTGCATTTCTTCTGGGCTCAACGTGCTGTGCAGCTCAATCTCAGTATAGCAGTACCTGCCTGCCCATGAAAGGTTTTTACAATATTTGGGCCTACTTGTTCTGAGGCCTGACAGGAGTATAATTTTAGATGGCTGCACCAGAAAAACGGAGAGACAGAATGAACAAAACGATGCAAAGAGCCATTCTAGTGACTTTTCATAACCATAGGTCAGCCCGTAAAATACAATGAAGAATGAAGATATACTGGAAGTAACAAAAACCAATAACCACGCTATATAAATGCAACATGAAGGCAAAACGATCCTGCTCTTCTCCTTGAGTTCTACAGGACCCACTTGGGAAGGCGGCTCTCTAGAAGCAACATCTTTATTGTTATTTGTGTTTGAGTTACTGGCATTTATATTTTTTCCATGGGTGCGTGAGACCTTCTTCTCTCCTTTCTTCCCCATAGGCTGTGCCACGGAGGGTACCTTGGAAGAAGCCTTGTGAAGTCTAGTGCTTTGCACAGATGGCAGCTTTGAAGGCTTCTTGGTGGGAGCATGCACAGTTTCATGAGCATGCCACTTTTCAAGATATTCCTCCCAGTGTCCACTCTCTGACACCAAGGAATGCTTCCGGGGAGA